TGGTACAGTGGCTGAGAGTGCACATGGTGACGATGAATTTGAATTTAAAGTTGGTGTCGTCATGGTACAGTGGCTGAGAGTGCACACGGTTTTGGTGAAGGAGGCCTTGTGCCACAACCCCTGCTCCACTGCCCAGGAAGCCCAACACACAGCTGGCCTGGTGTTCAGAAAGCTTTGTAGGGATGATCAGATGAGGATTTATTTAATCTACTCCCCATTTGATGATGGTGGTGGTGTTTCTCAGTAAAAGCAAAAATAAAAACACCACCCTAAATAGGTTTTAACCTATTTTCATTATAAACGAAAACAAATAAGAAAAACAAGCTAATCTTACCATCCAGAAATAACCAGTCTTCTAAACTAAAAAAAAACCTTTTTAACTAGGCAGGGTTGATCCACATTGCTCCCTAAGTCTTTGAATTCTCACTGACGGTGTAAGGCCTCAGGATAGCTGTGCTGAAGTATCTGCAGTGAGTCACAAAAAGATGACATAGATAGTGAGTGTTTAGCAACTTGTATTACATTTTGACTCCTTTTATTATATTTTACAAAGATAGGGTCCATGACAGGTTGACCTTTTTTTTTTTTTTCTTTAGGTAATTTGGGAGCACACAGTCTCTTGTTTGAATACTAATAGTCCTGAGTGCTAACCCGCTCCATTGAGAAGCCACAGCAGGCGAGACGTGAAGAGCAGGCCGCAGAGCAGTGTCTTGTACATGTTTGTGTTAGGAGTGGGGAGTCCTGGTATGGCACTGTAGGATAAGCGCTGGACTATAAGGTTGATTTGAACAGCAGGCCAGCAGTTCAAACCCACCAGCCATTCCCTGGAAACTCTCATAGGGTCACTATGAATCGGAACCAACTCAACAGCACTTAACAGCATTAGGTGGAAAGTGAGCCTCTGGTCCTATCTTGGGTGAGATCCTGAGAGCGACGGTGTGTTTCTCTTTCTGCTTTATACCCTTGCATAGCTTGGTTTTATAACTACATATATTACAGCAGACCAGACACACCACACCCACAGCTGTCGAGTTGATTCCCACTCGTAATGACCCTGTAGCATAGAGATGGGCTGTACCCTTTACAGAAGCAGACTGCTACAGCTTTTTCCCACAGGATGGTTCACGGTTTCCAACCAGCAGCCTTTCAGTTAGCAGATGAGCGCTTAACCAGTGTGCCACCAGGGCTCCTTTTTATACATATATTACCTTCATAAAAAAAAAAAAAAGAAAGAAAGAAAAAAAGGACATTACCATTTTAGGAAAAACGAAAACCAAAGCACTGTGGGCAGGTCATAGAGTCTTCTAGTGGTGCTTCCTGGCTTTCGCAGTTTTTCAGGACTCGCTCAGACCTTTTGCCTCCCTCAGCACAGCCAGTGGGCTCTGGGAGTTCACACTTAGTGCATTCAATTATTTATAGAAGAGATTCTTCAGAACAAGAGACCATTTTAAATAGTGATAAAACTCCATGAAAAGGAGGAATGTTTGCTGTGGGTACTTCCTTTGCCTTTCAGAGTCATTGTGTTTATTGTTTGCCTTCTTCCAAAAGGTATGGTTTCCGGAAGCCGCCATATGTGGAGCTCAAAGCTCGGCCAAAACTTGGAGAGAGAGAAGTGACTTTAGTTCATGTGACAGACTGGATAGAGAAGAAACTGGAGCAAGAATTTCAGGTACACCTGCTGTTATCTAGGGGTCCACTGACTAGAAAGTTCCAGGTATTTGCACTGAGTACAAAAGTTTCAGGTAAGCAAGTTCTGAGTTTCAGTTGTGTTGGGCTCTCCCTTCGAGAATCCAATGGATCCTCCACCCAGAAAAGTAACACATATGATCAGACAGCCACAGAACCTTATTAAGTAGTCAGTCTTCAGGGGAAACTCAAAACCTGTGGATCAATATGTGTACGTTTTCAATAAGACCTTTTACAGCAAAAGAAACCTTCCTCCTGCTAGGTTTCTTCTTTGGACTTTGTTTTTCTCGGTTGTTATTGTTAAGTGCCGTCGAGTTGGTTCCGACCCATAGTGACCCTGTGTAGGGTTTCCAAGGAGCAGCTGGTGAGCTTGAACTGCTGACCTTGCAGTTCACACGGCTTTGCAGTCTGGCGCATTAACCCACAGCACCACACCAGGACTCCTCTCAGTATGGGGCCTGAATTAGTGAGCTAGTAGCCAGACTAGTCAGTGAAGTTGCTCTTTGCCCTAGTGTTGTATCCACCTTACTCACTGGGTTCAGTTCCACAAGCATTCATTGAAGCCCTTCCGGGTCCCGATACCACCTACCCTGGGAATGAAAAAAAAAGGAACCAGGCCTGGTCTCTCTTAGTAACTTCTCATTGTCTAAGCCTGTTTCACTGTTCCCTGCATTCTGCCACCCAAGGTACTAGCAATGTAGTCACGGGGGTTCAAAAAATTCATAGGAAAATGGAATTTCAGGAATTTTTCTATGAACTTTTGGAAACTCCCTCACATTCCCATTGAATCATGATCAGATGTTTGAAGCACAGTTGTCTTTCAAGGAAGTTTTTATGGATTAGCAAAGAATTCACTTTTTGAAGATCCACTTTTTTTTTCTTTGCCCTGTGGGGGTAGATTTTTGGGTTATTTCCTTGATAAATCCTATTATTTTAAAAAATTGAGATGAAACATAGCTGAGAACCCATTTTTGAGAAGTTAATAATCACCGAATGGAAAAGCACTTTGAGCCTACCTCATGCCTTAGGTTACTTTCTTATCTCACACTAAACCCCACATCAGGAATATGGTGGGTCATCCATTTCAGGGGTGCCAGGGGTGTGAAGAGCAGAGGTTGGTATTTCTGAAGCAAGTCAGGAAGTTGAAGGATGACTGCTGCCCCCTCCCACTGCAACTCGCTTTGTCTTTGTTTATGCTTTTGTAACAGTGATACCGAAGACTGGATGCCAAAACGCACATAAAATAAGTTTGTAAACATAGAAGCGATGCACCATTACTGTCCGCTACGGATGATCCTTCAGATATTTGCTGTAGTAGAATTTCTTTCATCTAGTTCTCTGTGGGTCTGGTTTTTTGTTTTTTTTAATTTACATTTTGTTGCCAGACGTTAAAAGGATATAGTCACATAGTCACTTGTGTTCTAGACTTAGTAATGTGGAAATACTGTGAGTAGCCAGTTCTCTTAATATTGAATATCAATCACCTCATGAGTATTTTTACATGTGCATGAGAGCAAAGGCTGTGTCTGCCTCGTAGTTGTTAGGTGCTGTTGAGTCAGGTCCAACTCCTAGCACCCCTAGGTCTAACAGAACAAAATGCCGCCCGCTACCATGCCAGCCTCCCAGTCATCAATGTTGGAGCACTTTGTTGCAGCCGCTGTGTCAGTCCCACACTTGACGTTTCTCTCCAGGGTCCAGTCCCTCCTGATAACATGTCCCAGCATTCACCGGAGACAGAGCCTCACCAGCCTCGCTCTGAGCATTCTGGCTCTAGTTCTTCATCACAAATACGTTGTTTTCCTGGCAGTCCATAATGTACTAATACTTTTCTCCAGCGTCATAGTTCAAAGGCATCAGTCAATCAGTTCTGTCTTCCCTGGTCATTTTCCAGAGTTCACATGTGTACGTGATTGAAAATACCCTGGCTTAGGTCAGGCATCAAGTTCTGGTGTGCCACTGTATGATAAGCCCTAGACTGGTAACCACAGGGTTGCAGTGAGTTGGAACCAACGTGATGGCACTTCACACATCAGGCGTGCCTCAGTCTTCAAAGTGACATCTTTGCTTTCTAACACTTTAAAGAAATCCTGTGCACGTTTTCCCAGGAAAACACCATTTGACTTCTTGACTACTTATTGTCTGTTCCATGCATTGAAATGGCCATTTGTAAGTTTAAAACAAACAAACAAACAAAAAGTTACAAGAATTTATTTAAAACATCTAGGAAAATTGTTTCATAAGCATTTTTAAAAATCTGTCTAAAACCCAAAACTGGTAATAGAACAAAGTGCAACCCCCTGAGAAAACATTTCCCCCTGTTCTTTTTCTTCTACAGAAAGTTTTTGTCATGCCAAACATGGACGATGTTTATATTCCCATAATGCACTCAGCCATGGACCCACGCTCCACTGCCTGCCTCCCAAAAGACCCAGGGGCGGAGGCTGCAGATCAGCTGTGATGGTGAGTGCAGTTCCCAGTATTAGATCTAGGCTCCAGGTGTGGGGCTCATGGCTGCCAGCTGGGCTGTCATTCTGACCTCCACTTGTGCCACAGCTACTGTTTCTCAAAGGACTGCTTCTGCCCTCTGCCTGCGGTGCCCAGTCCATGCACCCAGTGACAGTGTCTGGATTGCCTGCTGCAAAGCTTTGACTCTAGGCAAAGGAGACTGCCTGAGATCATCACAACTTACAGAAGGGATAAGTGACTCGCACCGTGACTTTCTTGAGTTGACCGGATGTTGTGGCAACAGAGTGAAGCTGTACAGGTGTTAGGCTTTCGCTTGCCTTTTCAACTCCAAGGCTTTGCCTCAGGCAGCCAGTGCCCCACAGGTTTTCACTTCTCCAGCTTTTCTGCATCCCTCTAGAGAATTCTCCCAGAGAATGTCCACGTGGTGATGGGTGTGGAAGGTGGGGAGTGGAATTAGAAACCATCTCACTGGTGGTAGAGATATACATAGCAGCTCCCCCTTTTCATGTTAAATTGTGCATCTTGGAAGCAAGTAGCCATAGAACACACACACTAACACACTAAATCAGCTGGGGCGGGGGCAGTGGAATTGATGTGAACATTAAGCAAAGCCATGAGATCAAACCATCCCAAGCCTTTACCTGTAAGGTGCAAATACCTGGCTTGTAACTAATCTGGAATGTTTTGAGACATGAGCGTACATGAAAATGTCAAACACTGCACACAATGATGGATTGTCCCTCATGAAGCAAGAAAGCCTTTCCAACTGTCTATTCCTGGAAGTTTCATATAGGATTACAAATGCTATTATCTAGTTACTGGGTTTGGGATAGTTTTGTGAGCAGTTTCCCTTTGTGATGGCCAAAATGGAGAACTGCTCTTTAATCATGAGACAAGACCAAAATGTTTGCTCAACATCAAAACACTACATTTCTCAAAATTTACCGTGACCTTTCCTTAATGTTGCCAAGTTTATTTTATGCATTTGTGTCAGAATGTCTAGTTTACAAGTTTGGGGGCTCCCTGTAATTGTATAATTTGAAACATAAACAATTTTTGTTTAAAATTGCATTTGACGTCAAAATTACCTTCAGTAACTTTTGATCATTTACATCTGTGGACAAAACTAATAGTGTTTTTTTTTTAAACAGCACCTTGCCTGAATGTGACTTTAAAGAAATTAATGTATTGACAAATATATTTGAAACCCTATCAGATTATTTTAATTGCACCATTAAAACATTTGACTTAAATTGTCTGACCATTCCAGTCTGCGTACTGTTCTAATTTCTCATTGTGTAGCCTGAGTCACCTGTCAAGAGTCCGCATGTGTTGTTCACTGGTCTTCATTTTCGTGCAATAACTAAAGGCAAAGAACTAGCTGCACCACTGTGTAGAGATTACATGACTGTATCCTATTGCACTTAAATAGTATGTGGGGATTTTATAATCGCTTGCATTGTATCACAAAATAAATCTCATGTCAAATAGATAAGCATCTTATTTGTACTGAATCCTGTTTTGATGACCATGAATACAGGGCTCTTGGGACTTCAACTGCCAGTGTTATCAGCTGCCAGATGTGGTCCCCAACTCAGGGGGCATACAGACAAAACAATGAGACCCTGCCCACTCCCCATAGGTTGTAAATTGAACCAAGCCTTTCTTCGTAATTTTGAAAGCTGTTCAATACCACATGCTTTGGCTGGGAATAGAATCCATATCTCCACCAAGGCAGGCAAGAATTCTAGCATACCTACTCAGGTCTCTTTTGCCAGTAACCGCTTTCATCATACTACCCATTGCTGTGGATCAGCCAATTAGGTAGCCCTGAAACCTTAGGATAAGCATTGGACAGCTAACCACACGACGTCTTCAAACCTACCAGTTGGAACTGACTCAACAGCACTTAGGTGCCAGTAGAAATGATTCTACTGCCTCACAGGATTTCCTAAACTATAGTCTTTATGGTGGTTACGAATCGGGCTGCTAATCTCATGGTCAGCAGTTCGAAACTACCAGCTGTTCCACGGGAGAATGAGACTTTCTGCTCCCGTTTTTACAGCCTCAGAAACCCTATACAGGGTCGCTATGAGTTGGAATCGACTCCACAGCACATAACAAGTCTTTATGGGGGTGGAATCCTAGTGAGGCTCTGTAGGACATGCACTTGACCATAAGGTCAGTTTAAACAAGGTCATGGTTCAAGTTCACCAGCCACTCCTTGGAAACTATACAGGGTTGTTCTGGGTGGAACTGACTAACTGCACTTCCCTATTTTTATAAGAGCGGTTGGTCTGTTTCCCAGGGAGCAGCAGGACTGGTTTAATCACCAGCCTTTCTGTTAGCTGCCACGTATTTAACTATTGGGGTATAGCACTGTGGGTTAATGCACTGGACTGCAAGGTCGGTGGGTCAAGTTCACCAGCTGTTCCTTGGAAACCCTATACAGGGTTGCTGAGTCAGAACAGCACTTAACATGTCATCAGGAGGGACCACACCCCTAAGTAAAAGTAAACCAACCTCACTGCCATGAGTCCGTTCAACTCACAGACCCTGTATAGGGTTTCCGGAGTCCTGTGGGTATGGTGGTTATGTGCCATGGAATCAGTTCTGACTCACAGCGACCCTGTACAGTGTTTCTGAGGGTGTAAATCTTTACGGGAGCAGAAAGCCTCATCTTTCACCCGGGGAACAGCTGGTAGTTTCAAACTGCTGACTTTGCAGTTTGCCACTCGATTCGTAACCACTCAGCTACCAGAGCTCCTCTGTGGGATATGAGCTATACGTTGGGTTTGGAACTGCAAGGTCAGTAGTTCAACCCCACCTGTTGCTCTGGGAAAAAAAGCTGACTTTCTGCCCCTTTTGGTGTCAGGTACCATCCAGTATGCACCACCCTCATAACACCTGAGGCCACTGCTATTGCTACTGTACCAACTCCATCCTGGTGGGGCGCTTCACCTAACCTCCACTTTTACTAAGCATATCCTCCAGTGACTGATCCCTTCTGATAAATGGAATGAGGCAGTCCCATGGTCCTGGCTTCCAAGAAGCGTTCTGGCTGTACTTACTCGAAGATAATTTGTTTGTTCTGGCAGTCCCTGGTACTTTTAATATTCTCCAATACCATAATTCAAATCCTTACTCATTGTCCAGCTTTCACATGCATATGAGACAATTGAAAATGCTAAGATTTACTAGCCTTGGAAACAGCAATTTCCAAGGCTCGAGATTACACAGGATCAGAATGCATTTATCTCCCTTAGAGCCACTAGTGGCTTTCAACTGCATGCCTCAAGGTAAGCAGTCCAGTGCTTATCCTACAGTGCCACCCGAGCTCCTTATGCTTGGTGAAAGGTAACAAAGACCATGAGACAGATGGACACACTGGCCGCACAAATGGACTCAAAAGTGACCGTGGGGAGGGAGCAGGAAGGGCTGTTTTGTTCCATTGCACAGGTGCTGTTACTCAGCACTGGGCAATACGATCCTAGAAAAACTTCAAACCTTGTTCCTGTAACAGACTTTGTTTAGGTGCCTACTTACTATCTGACCCAGGTATGAAACGCAACCCCTTGTCACAAATGCTGCAGCTGTGAGCTGGCTGGATTAACTGGCCCAAATTACACCTGGTAGAGTCCTGGTGAAGGAGCTCTGGTAGTGTAGTGGTTACGAACCAGGCTGCTAATCTCATGGTATTTATTCCACAGGTGAAAGATGAGGTTTTCTGCTCCGGTAAAGATTTACAGCCTCAGAAACTCTGTACAGGGTTGCTATGAGTCAGAACCAACTCCAGGCACATAACAAGAGTCCTGGTGTGATGCTACAGGTTAATGCACTGGACTGTGAAGTCAGTGGTTCAAGTTCACCAGCTGCACCTCGGAAACCATAAAGGGTTGCTATGAGTTGGAACCGACTTGGTGGGCTTAACATAGTACTCAAATAAGCGATTTGTCCTGCGTGGTAGTATTGGTAATTAGGTTGAGTGATACCTTGCTTGCTGATGAAGATCAAAGATCACAGCCTTCTGTATGGGTTACATCTCAACTTAAAAGAAAAAGATCCTCACCACTGAACCAATAAGCAACAGAAATATAAACAGAAGACTGAAGTTGTTAAAGACTTAGTTTGCTCAATCAACACTCACGGAAACAGCATTCAAGAAATCTTTAGGCTGCACAAGTGTTGAAGGGCAAAGATGTCAGTTTGGGGTCTGTGGTGCCCCTGACCCAAGATTATTCTTAGTCTCATACGCATGCAAAAATTGGGACAGTAAAAAAGAAAGACTGTAGAATTGATGTATTTGAGTTACGGTGTTTAATATTTAAAAGTACCACAGACTGACAAAAGAAAAAAAAATTTGCTGTAAGAGTATAGCCAGAGCTCCTTGAAAGCCAGATGGTCAGACTTTTCTCAGACTTCGGACATATCAGCCACCGGAAAAGGGTATCATATTTGGTAAAGTGGGGAGTCGGAGAAAAGAGGACGACCCCTCCCCAACCCCATGAGATGGACTGGCCAGTGACAAAAGCAGTGAGCTCAAACCCAGGACCCGGCAGTGTTTTAGTTTCGTTGTGTACAGGATCGGTACCAGACGGCACCTAACAACACACCTTGGGTTAAATGACCCACTTGAGCTGCTCATTTAAGCAGCTCAATACTGAAGCCAGTTCCTGCCAAGTGCCCCATGGACCTAAAGAACCTAAGTCTCACTGGGCATGAGACTCATACTGGCCCCTCTGCCACGCCTAACGTCTCTCCATTAAAGGGTGACGGTGCGATGATCGCGCGCTTTCGTGCAAACCGGGAGGGGAGAGGAACGTCAGGGGCGCACATGACGGACACAGTAGGTAGTGCCTACTACCCCCACCCGCTTTCCTAGTACGTTTCAGCTCAGGACTGGAGTCTAAACTAAATCACAAACGCCCAGAACAAGTCCAACCCCCCCGGCAGTCAGCCTGGGTCGCCGCCGTGTCGCTCACGGTTAAAAGG